CATCTCTAATGTGACTAACCATCTTTAATGTGACTAACCATCTTTAATGTGACTAACCATATTTAATGTAAATAAACATCTTTAACCTGACTAACCGTCTTTAAAGTGACTAACATCTATGTGACTAACCATTTCAATGTAACTAACCATCTAACCATCAAGAGACTAACCGTCTTTAATATGACTAACCATCTTTAGTGTGACTGACCACCTTTAATGTGACTAACCATCTTTAACGTGACTAACCATGACTAACCATCTTTAACATGACAAACCACCTCTAACGTGACTAACCATCTTTAATGTGACTGACCACCTTTAATGTGACTAACCACCTTTAACGTGACTAACCATGACTAACCATCTTTAACGTGACTAACAATCTTTAACATGACTAACCACCTTTAATGTGACTAACCATCTCTAACGTGATTAACCATCTTTAATGTGAGTAACCATCTCTAGTTTGACTAACCATCTCTAACATGATTAACCATCTTTAAAGTCACTAACTATCTTTAATGTAACTAACCATCTTTAATGTAACTAACAGTCTTTAATGTGACTAACCATTTTTAATTTGACTAACCACCTTTAATGTGACTAACCATCTTTAACGTGACTAACCATGACTAATCATCTTTAACGTTTCTAACCATATTTAACATGACTAACCATCTTCAATATGATTAACCATCTCTAACGTGACTAAGCATCTCTAACGTTACTAACCATCTTTAATGTGACTCACTATCTTTAACGTGACTAACCATCTCTAACATTACTAACCATCTTTACTGTGACTATCTTTAACGTGACTAACCATCGTTAATGTGACTAACCATCTCTAACATTACTAACCATCTTTACTGTGACTATCGTTAATGTGACTAACCAGCTCTAACGGGACTAACCATCTCTAACGTTACTAACCAGCTTTAATGTGACTAACTATCTTTATTGTGACTAACCATCTCTAACGGGACTAACCATCTTTAAGAGTGGCTCATTTTACATCTCTTTAATAGGAGCAGATCCGTCTCCCATTAACGAGCAGTAAATCCCATCTCCTGACAGACCGTATTGGTCACCAGCTTTGAGAATTAACAAGTCTCCGTTTTTTTCTTTTTGTTTCAGAAATTAGAAGCTAAACTACAATCCCAGATGGACTACGAGGAGATTAAAACTGAACTCAGGTGACAACCAGAGCAGTTAGAGAGTGTTAAGAAGTCATAATGAAAACAAAGATCCAGTTATCTGAGTTTTTTCTTTCTATAGCATACTGAAGGTTATGAAGCTGGCTTCAACAAACGGCAGCTCATCCCAGGTATATTCTGTTTTAATACTCTTAATCTGTCATGAAAGACAAACACACCCGTACAGAGCAGTGCCACTAAATTATTTATTGATCAGCCACCTATCCATAAGATATCAATACCAAGTGTTATTGATTATTGTACATTAACAACATCTGTGTGTTTGTAGGATTCTGCAGAGGCTCTTTTGCTGGAAAAAGAGGCCTTTCTTCCATCTCACAAGTTCTTAGGAGACAAGAGTCGAATATTGCACAGCAACGGTAAGCTGAGCGGACAGTTTCTATAAACATGATCAGTTCAGCATGCAGGGTTGTAATGTTTTTAGGTTGTGAGTTTTGATGCCTTCTTTAGATTTAAATGTTGTGGATAAATTTGAGTTTGCAAAATCTTGTTTGGCGGGAACGTAAATCATTTACAAACCCAATTCCAAAAAAGGTGACTGGAATAAAAAAACTGAATGCACTGATTTAAACATGACATAAACCCATATTTTATTTACAATGGAACAGAGTAAACGTATGAAATGTTTAAACTAAGAAGTTGTGCAGGTCGAGTTTGATGGCAGTCTCACATTTAAAAAAGTTGTCTCAGGTCCGTGTTCCTGTCTGTGAAGCATCCCGTCTTCTTTTAACAACATCCAGGGACCGAGGGGAGCAGCTGCTGGAGGGTTTGGAGGGAAATGATGTCCTTTCTTGTCTGGTGTGGGGTTCTGGGTGTTCAGCAGTCCTGGGTCTTATTTCCCTTTGTTTGTTTCATGATGCATTAAACAGTGGGGAGTTAGAACTGCAGGCAGATCAGTTCAGCACCAGGATTCCTCTTCTACGATGAAGCCATGCTGTTGTAACGGATGCTGTAAGTAGTTTAGTTCATCTGAGAAACATGTCATCTAAATGGGACCAAAGGTTCTCTAACCTGCATAAACTTTTTTTAACTGATGGTGCCTTTCTAGATGTGTAAGCTGTCCATGCCAGAGGTACGAATGCACCCCCATACCATCAGAGAGGCAGGCTTTTGAACTGTGTGCTGATAACGGGCTGGATGGTCCCTCTCCTCTTCTGTAGGGGAGACACGGTGTTTGTGGTTTCCAAAAATCATTGTCACATTTTGACTCTTCAGTTTTCCGCTTGGCCTCGGTCCAGAGTTTGGTGGTATTTCTGGATGGTCTTTACATAGGGCTTCTTCTTTGTGTGATAGAGCTTTAAGCAGCATTTATGGATGGCACAGTGAACTGTGTTTACAGACAGGGACTTGTGGAAGTGTTTCTGAACCCAAACGGTGCTCAGAACAGAATCAGACGTGTTTTAATGCAGTGCTCCCTGAGGGCTCGAAGATCACGAGCATGCAGTCCTGACGTTCAGACTCATCTGAAGCTCAGAGATCCCTTCAGATTCTTCAAGTCTTTTAATTATGAACTGTAGAAGATGGGATGTATAAAGTTTTCATTGAGGAACATTATTCTGAAATTGATCCACTGTTTTTTATTCTGTTTATTAACTACTGGTAAACCTCTGCCCATCTTTACTTCTGACAGATTCAATGACTCTGAACAGCTCTTGTCTGTAGGGATTCCCCCCTCCTGTTTCATTGGTCCACTGTGACCTGTTTGATCATTTCATTTGTCAGATTTGTTTTTAACCTTTATTTATACAGGTAGTCTCATTGAGTTGCTAGACTGGGTGGTTTACTGCCATTTGGGTGGTTTTTATTCTGATTTTGCAGGTAAAAATTGCTTTGGGATGGTGGGGAATATTTGGGCAGATTTGGAGTCAGATCAGCAGTTTTTGAGTTAACTTATTAAACACATTTCAAACAATCATTCATCATTATTTCATAGCAAAGCTCCCCTGACCTTTCTCCATCACTGATTGGCTATTGTCATCTGCCAGGGCGTTCACAACAGAGAACTGGTGCAGCAGTTTTAGTGGACACCTGGTTGAGTGGGCTGGCCCGTTGCAACGGTACATCGGAGCGTCCGCCATATTGGATGTGGCAGAACTGCCAGTCAACCAATAGAAGGAAATAGACTGAACTTTATAAAGCAACGTTCTACAAAGTCTTTTGTGTTAATCCCTGTCAATCACACACACTAATTTATTTGGAAAACAAACAGGCACCAAAGACAACATTTATAACTTTTAAAGTGATTATTAAAAATGTTTACTCCTTAAATGTTTAGGTTTAAGGTAAGCACTAAATCATCATATGTATTATTTAGAGTGTTTACAACAACTAATGTGTGTAACACTATTACTGGGGTAATAAATATAGTAATATTCATATTGAACATTTAATCTGTGCCTATAATAACCAGATCCTGAAATGTGACGTGCAGATTAATTGAATAAAGAACACTAATCACACTGATGGACATATATAAACACCAACATATCTTTACAGAGGGTGGGGGGTATTGTGTGTGTGTGTGTGTGTGTGTGTGCGTGCGTGCGTAGGTGCGTGCGTGCATGTGTGTTCAAACAGTCAATATAACAATATATTGATTGGGCAGGTATTTGTGTGATCGGGCGGTTTTTAATAGACTTTAGGGCTGGAAAACCTCGACTCTATCTGGCAACACTGATTGAGTCATGAGGACCCCAAGAGAGACGTGTATTTGGGCAGCTCTGTGAAAGCCCGGGTGTGACGCATGAAGCTCATTATCCCCTCAAACAAATAATAAATCCATAAATTAGCCACAGTACTGTGTAAGCTGCAGTGTTCAAAGTGAGTGAAAAAAGTAGCGGCTTATAGTCCAGAAATTACCTTTTTACCTACCTACCTTTTTATTTTAATGTGTCCTTTTTTTAGTTTAAATGTTTGAACATGTGATTGTGAATTGATTATAAAATATGGGTTTGTGAGATTTCCTAATTTGTTTTTAATTAACTTTTTTGTTTGTTACATTTTGCACAACTTTTTTTTTCTTCAGATTTGAGGTTGAATTGTTTTTAAATATCTGTTATCAAGAAAATATTAGCAAAGAAGTTGTGTGAGTGAAAATGTGTTTTCTGTCGTCAGATGAGGAGCATTCTGAGGATGCAGGCAGGGAGACGGGCAGACCGCCTGGATCTCATTCCTCCTCCTCGCAGGCGGACAGTCATGCCTCACCAAGCCCGGGTCCCCACACTTTGGATGGCTCCTCTTCCAGCCACGATCTCTCTCGTCCTTTCTCTGTGTCCCCATGCTCCGGGGACCGACTGTCAGGGGACTATGTTCTCCACAAGCAGCTCCTCTCCCCTTACTTCAAAAAGGAAGGCCTCGTGACTTTCCCCACCGCCCTCTATGCAGCTAAAGTTGCTCTCATGTCAACTTGTCAAGGGTCTGCAGGGACCAGTGCCAGCGACGCCGGCCCGCCCAGTGATCAGTTAGAAAGCGGCAGCTCGACGGCAGGAGACGAGGACCAGCTGGACACGGCAGAGATTGCCTTTCAGGTTAAAGAGCAGCTGCTGAAGCATAACATCGGCCAGCGAGTGTTTGGCCACTACGTTTTGGGCCTCTCCCAGGGCTCGGTCAGTGAAATCCTGGCAAGACCCAAGCCATGGCGGAAGCTGACTGTGAAAGGCAAAGAACCTTTTATAAAGATGAAGCAGTTTCTCTCCGATGAACAGAACATCCTGGCTCTCAGGACCATCCAGGTCCGGCAGAGAGGTGAGTGCAAAGGATGAAAGTATGCAGTCCGAGTTCAGGAGCCTGTAAACTTCTGCACAACACAAAGTAAATGTGTGCTACAGCAACTATAAATCACAGGCATGACTTTCCTTGAAGGAGTGCGTATCGCTCGCCACACATCGTATGTTGACAAACGACGGACGGATTTGTTGCTGTTTTGGTCAAAGCAACGTTGTGCATGAAAACCTGGAATTAGGCGTCACACTCAGAGGGTGTGCCGTTAATCACCATCAGCTACTACCGCCTCACATTTTAGCTCAATGTGAATAAAAATGACTGATTCATAACAAATAATCCAATGATAACTTTATGAAAGTTTCATAAAAGTCTGCTCAGTACATTAGATATTGTGCTAACAGACAAACAGGGTTGACTTCAACAGTCCGTGCTACATTTTAGGCAAAGATCAGTCACACTTGGAGCGTAGGTGGGCAACATTTTTGTCCATACGGCCAAATCAAGATGTTTATCATAATTACCAGACTATTGAGCGCACCTGAATATAAGCCACGCCCACTGAATTTAACAAGAAAAGAAATTGTACATAGGCCGCTCTTGTCTATAAGCCATGGGTGTCCGCATTATAACATGAGATATTTTTTAATAATCAACCTGCAGATGGTGTTTAATAAACTTTAAGTTCAACACACGCGCAGCGAGAACCCACAGGTTTTCATGACGACTACCTCCCTCACTCATGGTTACTCTACTGAATGGACTAACACAAACTAACACATAATAAACACATAAACTTGGCTAACAAGAACAGACTAATCACACAAACAACAACAAAAATAAAATGGTGCTAAACGGCTAACCAAAATTATTATCAATGAAAAAAGGTTGTAAGCTCAATCATCCAGGTAGAGAACAACAAAAAGGTTAAATTGTGTCATCAGTTTCGTAAAGTGAGAAACGTTTCGTTCCCCATCCAGAGGACTTCGTCAGTCTGTGGCCTGCCAACCCGATCTGGCCCACAGGTAGTCTTCATCGCTGTGTTTCAAGACAACATGTTGGAATCTCAGAAGTAGTCTTTTTGTTGTTATCTCCCTGGATGATTGAGCATACAAAACTGTTTTTCTGAACCACTTTGGCCTTGGTTGTCCTCAGGCTGTTTCTGTGAGTAACAAGTTGGCCACCTGGTCTAAAACACTTGATTGTTGTTAATGATGATTGATGGTTTCAGATGAGTGTGCTCTGGGAATAAAAGAAGTAGCAGCTTATAGTCCAGAAATTACGGTAATCATTCAAAGACCTGCAAAAAGAATAGAAAAATAAATTTTCTTTGACAGATTTTCCTAGGGTTGCTCTTATTGTAGCATGTTTTAAAAAATATCTTCCTATAGTCTTTAGGATTATAAGACATAGTTTCTGTGAAGTGGCTCTTGGGACAACACATTTGTTATCTTAATTTAAAAAAAGTTATCTAACACAGTTGAGTCAGGTCCTCTGGACGAGTTCTTCTTTGTTGAAACGTTTCGTCTTTTATCCAGAAGTTTTCATCAGTCGACTGAAGTCTTTTGGATGAACTACTGTAGCTGCTGCCACACCCATTTCTAGACAACATCTGAAAAACTGATTGAATCATTTCCTGTTTGGAAAGGTCAGCTGGCGGTGGTGGCCATCTTGATCAGGGCTGGTTCCAAAAGTTCATCATTTATAGATGTCCATCTAATTATTGACTCCAGTACATTAGATATTTTGCTAACAGACAAGCAGGGTCCACACCAACAGTTAATGCCAAAGTGTTAAGCAAAGACCTTGTGCAGTGCCTCAAGCTTGGAGTATGTGTTGGGGATAACTCTCAGCTACTACCACTCAACTCTTTGGCTTAATGTCTGTAAAATGATCTGAGTCATGTCCACTTTTATGTTTGTTAAGTTGGCTTAGCTGTGGCGGCAGTCTTGATTTAGGCTGAGTCCAAATGTTCATCAGTTGTAGATGCTCATCCAGTGATGACTTTTTGAAGGCTTCATTAAATTGCGTCCACTGGTTCACGAGATATTTTGCTAACAGACGCATGAGCACACAGAAAATGCTCGTATACGTTTAGCAGCAATTAACAATAACAGTTCATTAGAATGAACTTCTTCAGTGTTTAAAGGATTTTAGGTGCACTGAGCTGGAATGGAGTAAATGTGATTGTGTCGTGCAGTCGTGGTAATCTGGATCTGTGCAGGTGTAGACCTTGTGATCTGCTCGGACCACGTCCTCAGCGTCGATGTGTTCCTCTCAGCCTCCTCTGACGTCTTTATAGTGTTACTTTAAAACTTTGTTTTCTCCCTAGATTTATAGCTTTTGAAAGTTGAGCTTCCCGTATACTGCAGCCTCAGACAGCGCACGCTCAAAGGCTCCCATTGATCTCCCAGTCAAAAGCAAAGCCTTGGAACTGCTCTCTGATCAACCATCCCACTCACCCCCTCCACTCCCCCCTTCTCTCCTTCTCTCTCTGTTACCCTCCGTGGCAGGGAGCATCACTCCACGCATCCGAACTCCTGAAACTGGGTCAGACGACGCCATTAGGAATATCCTAGAGCAGGCCAAGAAGGAGATCCAGTCCCAGAGAGGTGGTGAGCAGAACGCTGCATGTCATAAGTCACAGCTGAAAGCTTCACTTATTTCTTAGTGTTAAGCACTTTGATAACAGTCTATCTGTTTTAAATTGTGCTCTATAAATAAATATGACTTGACTTCACTCATCCATTTTTATTCTTACATTGGCCACTTCTTCCATCTGGTTTGATCGCTGCTTTAATGGATGTGGGTTGAAAGGTGACTCGTGTCAGTGAGTTTCCTTCCTTTCTTTCAGGTGATGGGAAGGTGTCTGTGAGCAGCTCGTCGGGCAGAGGCAGTAATGGTGCAGGCAGCAGCTCTGACGAAACCATAAAGAGCATCCTGGAGCAGGCCAGGAGGGAGATGGAGGCTCAGCAGCAGGCCCTGATGGAGATGGAGGCCTGCGGGAGGTCCTCCACAGCCAGTTCAGGAGCTCAGGTAGAGCGCCTGGGCCCCCCCGAGCGCTCGCGAGTTCTCCCTTTACCCATCTCCATCAAACAGGAGGAAGGCGGTTGTGTCACGGTGTGCATGTCCGGCTCCATCAGCAGCCCTCAGACGCCGCTCAGCGTCCTCTCCCCGGCTGCGTTTGTTCAGAACATCATCCGCAAAGTCAAATCAGAAATTGGTGAAGCGGGCACCTACTTCGATCAGCACTGGTCTCAAGAGCGGGGGCCTCTGGTGCTTGGAGAAGGAGGCGGCTCCCGGCCCTTCAGCTCGGTCTCGCCCTCTTTGTCTTCCTCTTCCTCCGGGCCCTCGGCCTTGGCCCGGCCCTGGCAGCGTCTGGAGAACGGCGATGGCCTTCTCAACAGCGAGGACGCCTCGAATGCAGAGGACGAGCTGAGCCTAGGCCGACCCGTGGAGGTGAAGGTGGAGTCGGACACCTCGGTGAGCGGCGAGTCTCCGGGACCAGGTCCAGGTCGCCACGCCTACTACCCAGCGTATATCCCTCGTGCTCTGAAGCCCACCGTGCCCCCCCTGACACCAGAGCAGTATGAGATGTACATGTACCGGGAGGTGGACACCATCGAGCTGACCAGGCAGGTGAAGGAGAAACTGGCGAAGAACGGCATCTGCCAGAGGATCTTTGGTGAAAAGGTCAGCAGCTGTTTAACATCTGCAAGTTAAGATAGCTTCTTCCATCAGAGAAAAGATGAGTTCAGCCGTATAAACTGTTCCTTTAGGTCTGCACAGATTTTAAAAAAAGATCTTTCTGCTCTCCATGGATACATTAAACTAGATTAAGGTTTCGTTTTAATATTAACTGTAATGTTTGTGTAAAAGAGCAGGCGCATTGTTTGATCCCTGCAGCAGGTTCCACTTGGAGCATCTTCTTTGGTTGATAAAAGGGCTTCATGCAGCGGAGAATGAAGCTGATCAGCTGACCACTTTTCAGTCTGGTGGTTTCTGTAACAGTCAAATAAATCATCATCTTTAGTGTTAGAATCCCAAAAACAACCAAAACTGAGCAAAGTTTTATCTTTGAGGAGCTCGAGGAGAAAGGCTAACAGGAGCGATACTGACTCTTTATGGTACCAGCTAGAAGTCGGGCTGCAGAGTTCTGAAGGGGCTGCAAACAAGACAGCAGAGACACATCGAAGCTAAAATAAAGAGTTACAAAAGCCCACCCTGGAAGTAATAAATACTGTACTGACTATCTTCAAGATGCTGTTAGAGAGAATGTCTCTGAGATGTAGGAAGCAGCTCTTTACCACAGAGATATTCTGTTTATTTAGCAACAAATGGTAATATCTTTCAACAGAGACGTGTTTAAAGGGCTCACATGATCTCTGACGTGCCAGCATTTAATTGAAAACAGTTACAGGCCATCAGATTAGTATAACCAGTCCTCCCATGATCACACAACGAACATTATGTTTAACTATTTGCATGTCGAGCTCATAAAAAGCTCCTCAGGTTCGTATAATCTTGTGCAGAAAATTGTGATAATGCAGTAACAAAAACTGTTAGTAGTCGTTTTCATCAGCCTGTGTGCAGTAAATTAAAGGTGTTAAATAAGTAAATGCTTAACAGTTTATTTATAATTTGTAAATTATTATCAAAATGGGGTCAAATGGGTTTGTTTATTCAAAACTTTGTGATTTTATTTTTATAATTATTTAAGTTAAACTGATCCTTCATTCCTACATGAAATGTTGACCCAGTCAACATGCTTGGTGTGTTGTCTCCCTCTAGTGGGGATTTACTGAAAGTACACCACTTGTGATCTCTACAGAGCAACAAGATTAATTCTGTTCTAATATTTAGACTAATAATCCATGATACTCCACTGATGGGTTTGTTGTTTGATGAATGTTGTTTTTGTTCTAATGTCTTACTGCGCTTGTACAACAGGTGCTCGGGCTTTCTCAGGGCAGCGTCAGCGACATGTTGTCCCGGCCGAAACCGTGGAGCAAGCTGACTCAGAAGGGCAGGGAGCCCTTCATCCGCATGCAGCTGTGGTTACTGGATCAGCTCGGCCAGAGTCTCAGTCAGCCCCAGAACCACGGCCATGCTCAGGGTGAGGCTGCAGACCCACAACTCCTATAGCTCCTATAGGAACTGTCACACAAGCAGCTGGAAATGCTGCCATAGTAAAGCTAAATAGACTGATGAATGACGGAGAGGGAAGTCCTGGTGTCAATCTGTTCAAATGTCCTGTTTTCAGATAAAAGTCCAGTGACGGCTCAGTCTTCACCCTCCCCACCTCCTAGCCCAGCAGAGAGCCACCCCAGTCCACTGGTCGAGCCCGTCAGTCTCTCCCTGGAGAGCAGCAAAGAGAACCAGCAGCCTGAAAGCATGGGTTTGGGGCTGCCCATCCACACAGAGGGAGAAAAACCCACTCCCAGTCTCATGGCTCTGCATCAGCCCACCAACCCACTGGGCATCCAGGAGCTGGTGGCCATGTCTCCAGAGCTGGACACCTACACCATCACCAAGAAGGTCAAGGAGGTGCTAACGGACAACAACCTTGGTGGGCCTGAGTTTATATTACTGTTGGGTTGTGAGCTGACTGCCCTGCTGGATGCAGTCACCGTTTTTTATAAACGTTGTTTATTTGCAGGCCAACGTCTTTTTGGTGAGACCATCCTGGGTCTGACTCAGGGCTCAGTATCTGACCTGCTCTCCAGGCCCAAACCGTGGCACAAGCTCAGCCTCAAAGGCAGAGAACCTTTCGTCCGCATGCAACTTTGGCTCAACGATCCTCACAACGTAGACAAGCTGAGGACCATGAAGAAGATGGAGAAAAAAGGTGGGGCCCAACGGGTTTCCTGTCACTTCTTCCCATGTAAGCATCACATGTTTCACATGGTGTGTTTTAATCAAAGTCCTTACTTTCATTGTCTCGTAGCGTACCTGAAGAGGCGGTATGGACTTCTGAGCACCGGCTCTGACAGCGACTCACCCAGCACCCGGTCTGAGTGCGTGAGTCCTGCCTTGGCCTCGCTGGACTTGTGCCCCTTCAGTCAGGTGAAGAAGCCTCGGGTGGTGCTTGGAGCTGAGGAGAAAGAAGCCCTAAAGAAGGCCTACCTGCTGGAGCCGTACCCCTCACAGAACACCATCGAGATGCTGGCATCACAGCTCAACCTGAAGACCAACACGGTCATCAACTGGTTCCACAACTACAGGCCAGTCCACTTCTTTCTGAGACCAAAAATAAAGGCTATGATAAATGTTACAAATATATATATATATATATATATATATATATATATATATA